TCGACGAACTTGAGGGTGCGAGCTTCCATCAGGCCATGCAACATGAAGCACTTAAGCCAGGAGAGCCCTCTGGAGTATGTAATTGGTGAAGGGTTGAACTCCTTCTCGTTCTTGAGCTCACCGATGAAATAGTCACGATCCGTCACCATTGGCTGGAAGATCTCCCAGCCCATCTTCAGCCACTCCGTGCCTGAAATAGAACAAGCTGGCACTGCGAACCTGGTGCCTCTCCTCTTGCGATCAACTTTCGTCTGCCAGACGACGCCCAGCAAGACGTCGTCGGACATCTGCAAAGATGTTGGAGCCACGTGGATCCCGTCGTCAAAACGGAGCGAGGCGTAGATCAAAATGAGGACCCACCAGATCATCACCGCAGCAGCCTTCTTGTTCTCGAAGATCACGCGGGCCAAGAAGACCTCAAGCGCCACGATCAGCTTTGGCGGAAGTGGCACTGCCTCCTTGAGCTCTTTCCCTCGACCTGCATGGACTTTGTCGATGAGCGCCTTGAAACGAGCGTCTCCCATTTCAGGGCACGACATAGCCAGCCGCTTGCAGATCCAGCTTACGGCATATTTGAACGAGGGCAACACTGCCGGACCACACCCTTGATCTGAGAGGTGGACGGCGTATCTCATCACCGCCACTATAGTGGGCGGATACACCCTGAGGTTGTGAGCGACCGCCCACTCTTCAAACTTCTCCCAATTTCTGACATTCTGTCTGATAGTGCGGAACCCGCCGGCTTCAAAAGCCAATGCTTTCAGCCGAGCGGCTTCTGCAGGTTGCAGCCCGGCACACTTTGCCGGATCATTGATTGCCGCAGCTGTGCCAGCGCGCTGACAGATCTGCTGGAGCCTCATGCCCCATTTCTTCTTCTCACCACTCTCAGCTTCTTGGATCGAAGCCACTTCGACTTGGGATCCCCGGCCAACAGGCTTGGGGTCTACCACTGTCGAGAGCGGGACAGAGTGCTCCACCGAGCTGGCGGGTCTCTTGGATCCAAACCGCGGAGGCTCGGCGTAGCCATTAGCCAAGATCGGCAGCGATCTCCGCTTTGACCTTGGCGGCTGACCTGGCGACCATCGCGGCCAACAGGTTCACCATATCGAGCCTGACCAACATCTTGTCTAAGATGTCTTGATCCCCAGTCAGAGCCGGCAGCAGTGCCGAGATCTTTTCATCTGACATTGCGGACTCATCACCCGCGAGAGCCAGCCAGTACTCGACATGATCAAGGCCGAGCTGTCTCAAAACTGAACGAAAATCATCATCGAAAATCGGTAAACAAAGAAATCTATGAATAGAGCGATCCATCAGCCTACAACGAAATCCTAACTACCTACAACCGCAGAACACCCTCGATCTGAGATGGCTGAGCGCCCACAGCGATTGCAGTGCATGTTGATCAACATGCTGAGCATCGAACCTGCAGCGCGGCGATATGGGTCGGATCCACCCAATCAGCCGTGGCAGGGTCCCGGGATCTGGGACGGGATGATCTTCCCGAAAGTCGTGATCACCACGGTTCGAAAGACTGTTCAAATCAGGATTGGGGATCGTTCCCAACCCAAAATAAAATTGAAGTTTTTGAATGATCAGATTGAAAACTTAACAATTAGAAGGGTTAGACCCTTGGGAACAAAGGAAAACAGAGGGATAAGGTTATCCTAGCTCAACCAAGGGTCCTAACCTAGAGGAGGGATCTATATGAACAGAACCGAACTTAGGAGGGAATGGGGGGATCAACACCAACCGACCGGGTAGGGAAAGGATCCTAATGACCAGGCTGGGTGATCACCTAGCAAGTCATTAAACCTACCCGAACTGGTGTTAAGACCCAACGAACCCCACTGCCTTCCCCCTGCTGCTGCGATCTGCAGACATCACTAGGGTGAGGGACGGCTGAGCAGCAGGACGTGAAATCATGTGCTGATCAGCACTTATCTCTTTTGTCCTCTCTCGGACTGCTCCACAAAATGTAAATTGAAAAACCGCCCCGCCGATCGGCAGATCATTGCCTAGCAAGCGTTGAAAAACGGTGATCGATCCGTCCATTCGTTCTGATGCCAAAGAGCTCCTCAAGGACGTCGATCTCGGACACCGTGATCGCTGCTCACTCCACCATTGGCGGCCCGTAGCTCGTCGGGCCCTGTGCAGCGGCAGAGCTCTGGGTGCTTTCCTTCTGAGCTGCAGTTGAGTGAGCCGTGCCTATCTCCTCGACCACCTCGACCTCTTCGATCACGGCAGTGGTGATGTTGCAATACCTGCGAGACATCTCCTCAGCAAAAATGCCAGGAGTCAGACCCGCAGTGGAACGAGCAAAACTTCGATCTCCACGAGCCCGATCGCGATCAGCATCTTCGACATGACCAGCAACCCCCGCACTTGACAGACTGATCTGTCGTGTGCTGAACGAGCGCTGGTTGAGCTCGACCCCTGTCTGGCGTCGAACCGCCACCACTGTGGCATCTGCTTCTTCAGGATCTTGTGGTGCATCCTGAACTGCATCGCGACTGGTGAGCCAAGCCTCGGCAGTCAAAGAAGGTGGGCCGATCGGCGCAGGCTTGGTCTCAATGTGACTCATCTCGGCGAGCGCCTTGGGGTTGACCACTTCCGGCGCCCTGACCAACAGCTTTGAACGAGCCTGCACGTGGAAGTTCCCTTCCTCAAGCCCTTCCACAAAGACCACCAAGCAACCCACCGCGTCTTCCGTCTGAGCCACTGAAGATCTCCACCAACCTTCGTGAACAGCTGCAAGTTGGGCGAACTGTTCTGTTTGTTCTGGCCCCTCCACTCGAGCCTTGTTCTCACGAACGGAGGTGATGGTGCGGATCAACGTAGGCCCAGAAATGTGAGAGACTGTGAGCCATGTCCCTGGCACTGAAGTGCGAGAGCACTTCAGATCCATCCGGTTTTGGCATCACGGTATCGGAACTCCAGGCGATCTGCATCGTTCCCAACCGCGTCATTTGAAGACCTTGAGCACACTCGGAGTTCAAACCTCGATCGAGCTGAATCACCAGCAACGACCGCTCCCCTAGGTGCGATACCCTCCATCCCATGAAGACCGCTACTGTGATCGACAGCCGCGGCTTGCCTCTGTTCACCTCCCTGACGAAGAACTCGTCCACAAACTGGGTCTGCACAGTCAGATCCGTGTCAGACCTGTAGCCTCTCAAGACCCAATGGAACAAAATTTCGTTTCCATTGACCTTGATGTCAACATATGAGGCTGATGTGTCCCGCAGCATCGGCCACGAGAAGGGCTGAAAAGCCGGATGAGCCAAGGCGCGAGCTGCGTCCTCATCCCAATTGGCACAACTGTTTCCAGTGTCTGACTCGATGGAGACCGCTAGGACTGCCTTGATCCCGTCCAGCGTGTAGTTGGCGAAGAGCGCGAGATGGAATCCCGAGCTGGGCGGCATCACTTGATCACGTTCAGTAAGAACATTGATCGACGAAGCCGCATTCGACATGATCTCTCCGACCAACCATGTCTGGAACGGTGACACCATTCGATCGTCACGGGTGTCCACCACCAGGATCGACTGATCCTCCACATCGTCAGTTTCTTGCAAGGGCTCCAAGAACTTGGGCATCTGAACCACGTAGGGATTGTGAGCCGCATTCTGCCCACCCTGACCTCCGTAGTTCCAAGCCCTCTGTGATCCGTAGCCTCCTCCTCCTCGCTGTCCAGATCCAGAACCACGATGCATGGCGAGGGGCAGAGAGTACCCAGGCCCGAGCTGAAATAAACGATATGGATTGATCAATCTTGAGCCAAAATGGCATCAGGATTGATCAATCCTGACAACCATGTGGCACAGGGGTGAACACCCCAAATGAAATAATTCACAATGTCTGCAAGGTGATCACCTTTCAAATAAGATCAATTGAGGTTGAACAACCTCCAATGAACATCGAGTGAAATCACAGCATGAACATGCATCAAATCAAACAAAAACAGAGCAGCACTGGTGTGTGGAAGAACTAACGATTGACCCACTTATCCCAACCAAACCAGACCGAAGATAAGTGAACATATTTAAATATAAAGAATTCAGAAAATTCATAAAATTCAGAAAATTCAGAATTATATATATATATATATATTTATTTATTTAAATATAAAGAATTCAGAAAATTCAGTTCCACACTAAGATGGCACATGCCCACCCAAACCGTTTTCTCTGCCTCGTGGGGTTCTTGGTATTCTATTTTTATCCAAATTTATATATATATATATCTGTTCCACACTAAGATGGCACATGCCCACCCAAACCGTTTTCTCTGCCTCGTGGGGCTCTTGGTATTCTATTTTTATCCATACATATATATATATATGTATCTGTTCCACAGTAAGATGGCACATGCCCACCCAAACCGTTTTCTCTGCCTCGTGGGGTTCTCGGTATTCTATTTTTATCCATATATATATATATATATGTATCTGTTCCACACTAAGATGGCACATGCCCACCCAAACCGTTTTCTGTGACAATTTTACCTTTTAGACCTGTCTGCAAGAGGTTTCATTCCCTGCAGATTCGGACACAATCTTGTAACAAATAGAAGATCATGAGAGTCAAAAAAAAAGGAATGCTTGTAGCATAGGTGATCCGGATATCATCTCAGCTCCTTTTACATTTCTTCTTCAAACCTACGAATCCCCAAAGCTTGGATCTTTAGCTCGGTTTGAACCCTGATCCGGGCGAACGGCCGGCGAAAGTCCATGTGCCATCTATATGTTCCAAACGTGGAGGTATCCCATCAGAGCATTTTTTATGATTTAAAATCCATGTGCCATCTATAGTTTGCAGGATTTTTGTGTACATTCGGGCAGGTTTTTTTTGTGATAGATGGTGTTTTTTCAGCTTTTTCTATGTGCCATCTTACCGTTACCGAGTATAATAGTAAACTCCCTTAAACAGTTGAATTACAGATGCTTGGTTCGTTACTATTTGATATATAGTAATATAATGCTAGCAACACCGAGGCGCGGATTGGCCGTTTCTTGCGCCGCTGCGGAGGTTGCTTTCCTCGGTCCAGGAGTCCACCCTCTGCCGCTTGGGACGAGATGGGCATGAGATGGAAAGCCAGTGGACCTTTGAAATGTAAACCAATCACCAGATATATGAAGATTGGTGATTCACTAAATATAAACCAATCACCATTCAGCATCCTATTCTCTTTTTTTATTTAAGATACAATGCACAAAAAAACAAGGCATCACAACAACCACATAAATCCAATACCAAACCAGGTTTTCCGGGTATTCAATTCACATTGATTCACCAGATTGTACCGAAGCCTATGGCGACTCGCCATCCTTTGGTGAACCACGTTCGGAACGTGGTTAGACGCCCCGGTAAGAAGAGCCAAACATTCTGGTTACTTCACAGCTTTATGCCTAACCTCAAATACCCCATTCGATAATATTAGATACCCAATATGGGCGTTTCAAAAATATTGGGGCACCCTGGGCCGCCATGGTAGGAAGCCCATCAAATATAGCAAATATGCATCATTCCTCCATCATTGGGTCAAAATCACTGACAAATCACAGCAGCTCGAATTGATCGAGTTTCGCATGTTGGGAGGTCTCTGGGAAGAAGAGGAAGAGATAAATCAGATTCAACTCGGCCGGGGATGTTAAAAACGGCACGGGCACCACGTTTTTTTTGAATGAAATGTAGAGGGTTAGGGTCACAGTTTTTCTTCAAACTTGATGAAGTCTTCCTCATAAAAGATCATGATGCCTAGATTTCGAATGATTTCGATCTGTGCAGGGCTCCCAGTTGCCTTGATCGTTGGGCTCATGGATCGCCAGCTTAGATCATCTATGGCGCCAGGCCTTACCAGGCAATGCCTGGAATTTTGATGAAGCCCCTATTACATTATGAATTACCCTCTGGTAAACTAACATAACTATTGAAAATCACCATGCTATTAATGGGAAAACTCGCTATAAATTGCCATTTTCAATAGCTATGTTAAATTACCAGAGGGTATATTATATATATAGCTGCCTTTATGGATGAATTTTGCTCACAAGAAAACAGTTTCCATATACTTTCTTTGTTTGCATACCAGCGAAGGATCCATATACTGTGGAGGTTTTTGTTGGACCGGTTGTGGGGCATGGCTCAGCTTGGATGTGATGCGTCAAGATATGTCAAGCATATGTTATAAAGGACGCATGTTTGTTGAGCATATATTTTTCATGTTTTTCAAAAGAGTAGCCAAAAATAGCCATAAGATGATCATACAAACACAAAAACAAAATCCCAATATCCTACAATATCCTGAAAAATCTTCTAACATCTCATCAAAATATGTTCTGCTTACATTCTTTTTATTTTCGGTGCTTTATCTTGTCCTATCCACGTCACCACGGTTTGTTTCACGCCGAGTGACCACGGCACAGACCACGGACACGACCAGGGCCACTGATCGGGGCAGCAGAAATCCAAAGGGCATCACCTCACCCCGATGTTGCCATGTGAAGTCACTGGTTTTCTTAACAAAAATACCCCATGACTGGGAATGGAAACTATATACCACCTATAAAAATGGTGATTTTCCTGGGGGATGGTTTATTGTATGTTATGGCATTGTTTTACCCACCTTACCCCATTTATCCCATGTATAGATTCTATTTATAGACGAATTTCCGAAGCGGTTCAAACCTCCATCTACAAGGATGATCCCAGATTTGTTGAGTTTCCCAGCTATCAACCTCCATAGGTGATGCAGCAGCTGCAAAAAATATGTTCGTCGACAAAAAACAAAAAAAAACGGCGAGGTATGGGGTGAACATCTATACCATCATTACAAGTTATAGTTATAATCAAGTGTTTTTTCACAATACTATACTGGTTGGTGGTTGACCTACCCCTCCGAAAAATATGAAAGTCAGCTGGGATGATTATTCCCAATATATAGAAAAATAAAAAATGTTCCAAACCACCAACCAGTATATAAGTATAACTTAAAATTTGACCACAATAAACTTGTTTCAAGTTATAAGATATCATAAGTTATCTTTGTCGTAATCATAAGTTATATTTTGCCTAGATGTGTGACCAAATATTTCTCTCAGCATTGGGATGCTCACCGGGATGCTTATTGGGATGCTCATTGGAATTAAGGCCCCCAAAAAAAGGCCAGGTTTTTTACAGCAAAACAAGTAGGCTATGATAATATTTGGCTGAATTCAGCACTGCTTAGTGATTTAGGGGAGGTCCCTACTCACATCTAATGCATGGTGATGTGTTGCGGTCGTTTGTTTGTTCGCCCAAAATTCATGGGGATAACACGCCGCAGTGGGTAGAAACAAGGATACACCTCCTTGTAAAATCACTCCGTTGGGATCCGTTGGGTTCATCATCCCTTGAACATGTTGCGAAATGATTGACCAACTCGAAAAAAAAGTCGGGAAAGTTTGGTAAATTGTTGCATGAAGCACCTGGAGATGCCTAGAATCTGGAGGTTTTGGAACATCTGCAACATGGTTTGTGCGACAAAAATCTCCCGCAACACGGAGACAGGTTTAACCTCTTTGTAATTTCTGAAGCTCCTATTTTTGCGGTCAAGAATGCGTGGCCCATTTGAGTCATAAATTACGCTGGGTAAAACATCAGAATGGCCCCGGTTTCATCAGAGCTTCCACTCCAATCATCAGCATTGAACAAGCCATGAAGGTTCCAAAGGCTGCTGCTCTCTCCTGCGATCATCCCCAGACTCCCAGACTTGATCTTCCCCGTTGATTTTTCTCCATGGCATCCAGGAAGCTAACACATAAAATTGCGCGACAGAAAATCAATTTCTATGGGTTTAATCATGGTCAATCCCCATGTTCTGTGGAATATGTCAAATCCTGCAGACTCAAATCATGCGAAGTCATGTGAAATCACCATTTTGCTGGTGTTCTCCTTGACAAAATCAGCAGGAACACCGCATCTCTGGCGATTTTTTCTCCCACGTTTCCCAAACTTTCTGGTCCCGCCTCAGGGTCTTCGATGCTATCGCTCATGATTGCCAAATAAACCTGAGAGGGGTGGTTTGACTCCAACCGTAATTGGTCTGATGTTCACAACTTGAACTGGGAAGATGAGTTATGGATACTTATGGTTCATGATGGGTGGAAAGTATGTGCTTAAAAGTGCAATCTGTTCATATATGGATTTTTTATTTAGGATTTGGGAAAAAAAAACTCAATTTTCTGCCGCTCACAACAGGCCCCTCCCTAAATATTATACGTATATACATTGTATTAAATATAATATATTATGCATGATATATGTATATTATTTTCAAATATGTGTACTGATGTATATTGCATCTCTTATATATGTAATATCATAAGTGTATTATATATGTATGTGTATTAAACATCGATATAATAGTTTATATTTATATATTGTATATTTATTATGTACATTATAAATATTATATATGCATATTATGTTTATCACAAATTATATATGTATATCATGTTTATTATACATATATTTTATGTGTATACCGTATGTATATTATGTATTATATATTATGAATATATATATATATGCGTATGTTACATGCATGTATATATATAATATACCAAATGTATTATATATATACGTATGGTTCTTACCTCGAAGTTCCCCAAGGAGATCATCAAACCCTTGATGCCAAATCCCTCACGCATGACATGGGAAAATACGATGGCCAAGCATGTCCGGCCATCGTATTTTCCCACATTGTTTTCTAGCACCTGTTACATACTACGGTGGAAACACACAAATCATCCATCCTTTTAAGTACTTTGATAGGATTGGAGCTTCACCCCCTTGCACTGAATATAGCATTGGGATGCAAGCCGGTGTCAGGAAGATTGAACAAGCTGAAATAGTTATGAGAACTCTTGAGGCAATCAGATATATACTTCAAACCGGCTTGGTTCATAGAGACCGACCAAACAGGGCTTTTGCCGCTTCACCATACTTTGTGGATCATTGCAAGCATGGATTTCCTTACAGGAGAAGGACAAGACTTTGGGCAAACTTGGACACTTCGACACTTGGACCACTGTGTAAAAAGCACTTATAGAATGATGGATGATAATAGGTATAAAGAAATAGGTATTTAAAAAAAATGCACAAAGAGCACCTAGTAATAGCAAATACACTTGGCTTGAAAACGACACCTTGTTCAAACAAAAGGATTTTTATAGAATTCCTCAACCATCAGTGCAAGAATTTATGAATCCTATGCATGCTGTGAGCTTTAGCTAGTTACTGCGCCTTGCCACTAACAATACGGTGCCTTGCCACAAAAGGTGGGTAAATGGGAGGGTTATATTACAGTACCTGATTAATTCTGAAGAGCGCCAGACCCAAACTCTGGTTGAACTCGCCGAGGTTCTGCTGACAGGGGGTAAAGAGGTTTGGCAGGAGGGGTGTGCATATGTGTGCATATGTCGGGCTCTTCCTATTTCTTAAGTCATATCAAATATATCTGTCAAATATATTTCATAAAAATATCTATCGAATAAATTTCATCAAAATCTATATATCAAAAAAGGAGGGGAAGGCCTGAAAGTGCGAAGCACTGAAAAATAGTTATGCCAATTTTGTTTTATTAATTGTAACCTTGGTAATCCATCGACCCCCATTGGGGGTGTGCGTCAGCGCCTTTTGTCACCTGACATCCTGACAACAGGGGGGTGCATAAAGAAAAATGGCATTAACATTCCCATGAAAATTGGTTGGGTCAGCAGATACGATACATCAATGATCCAATGTGAATTATTTTCCTGGGTCAGCGGCAGGGGCGGCAGCCCTTAAGGACATGAGGTGCAAATTTGATGCAGGTGTGCATCAAACTTACACTTTTGAGGTGTAAGTTTACATCAAACTTACACGCAAAATGCGATTTTACACTTGTAAATGTAAGTTTGATGTAAATTTTTATCAGACTTACAGTGCATGTAAGGTTACATCAAGCTTACACTCTTGATGTGTAAATTTAGTGTAAGTTTGATGTAAACTCAAGTGTAAGTTTGATGCAAACTTACATCAAACTTACACCTCATGTAATTTAAAAATCACTGAAAAATCAGTGTGTGTTCACAAAAATTTATTGTTCACAGAAAATACTGTTTTTTATTCAAAAATATTGTTTTTTTTTCAACTGCCCTCGACAGCTGTTGCGAGATAGGATCCCCTTCTCCGATCCCGATCACTGTAACTAAACCAGGAGTTTCTTCGGCATTTCGTATCGGAAAATGGGGTCAAAATGGGAATCAGCTGAAAACCCAGCACGAATCAAAACCTGCCATTGGCGGGTTCCCTTCTTGAATCCAAGTTGCGCCATTGATGTTGAAAGATTCTACCTGGTGGCAGTTTTTTTTTGGCTACCAAATACCTCGAAAACATACATGGAAGACCATGGAAGACCATGGAAGTCAGAGAAAATGATCGTGGTTGAGATGCAAATGTATCCATCACCATGGCACCATGGTTTGGAGTCCTGAATCCTGGCTACCTCTCGAGATGTCCGTGGCTTCAGGTGCAAACCATGATGTTCAATGCCGTCTCAGAAACACCGAAGCACCCGCTGTTGGTGTTCAAAATCATATGATTCATATGCAAATTCACTAAATTCACTTTGTTTTTGACATGTTTGACATTTTTTGAGTGAAAATTGCTGGGTCTTGTTAGAGATCTCATAGCGGCTATGGTTTCCACCGCCAAGCTGAGCGCGACACCAAAGGGGTGATCACCACATAGACCCAAAGGGAGAATCCTGGTGAGATCTGGTGAGCTCCCATTGGAGCCATGTCGTGAATATCTTGAATAGGGCCAGCTATATTATTCGATATTATTTAAGAAATTGACGTTTAAGAGTGTTTAACTATATTAATTATGTTATATATAAATTACGAGTTATTTAGATATTAATGTAAAAAGATGTAAAAAGTAGACTTGGAACTTCGGGCCTCCAAACATGGGTGATCCAAGGTATCTAAAGCATTCTAAAGCTAGACCCGGAGCAGAGATGGGATCCCAGCTGGTCTTGTCATGGCATTTCATGGTTCATCGCATTTCATCGCTAGGAAAATTACCAGGACTAACATCTAAAAAACTCTGGGCCGAACAGAGTCTAACAGAACATTTCGTCCATTTTTCCGACCGGGGAAGCCCTAGGGACCACCAGCTCCTGTGGTGAGATGCAACAGCACTGCCAGCAGCGGCATCGTGTTGGCCACCCCAACGGCACGCACCAGGGGTCGGCGTCCCATCACATCGCTGACCGAGCCTAGGAAGACCTCAGGAAAATCCAGGTGTTTCATGGTGTTTCAACATGTTGAAGCCACATTTTCGCTCCAAAAACTGCATGGTTGGAAATCAAACCAGACTCTCAGACACGGATGTGCAGAAAATTCATGAAAATTCGCCTGTTTTTGGACAAAACTACCCTTTAAAGGGCAGCAATCAATGTCCCCAGGACTCTCCACATACAGATTTCACCCAAAGTCGCGGTTGGAAGCAGGCTGATCCCAAGGTCCAAAAAGAACCCCCAAAAATAGCGCTGTCCGTATCGCACCAAACACTGGTTGCATGGTTACTTGGTAGGTTGTACTTGTTTGAATCGATGTTTTCATCCAGAGTCCATGTCGTACAACCCACGACCTGTTTGATAAGCAACCATCATTTCTGGGATAAAATCCCACCTGCGAGAATCTCAGTGCCGTTCATCCCTTTCCGGCCGCCCTTATTACTGGACGCATCCCGATGAGTAGGTGCTTACTAAGCCACATATGATCATATACTACAAGGGTACATCGGTATATCCCATCTCTAACTGGGCTATATGAGTCACAGCTACTGGGATGTGTTTCCAGACCTGAAAAACCGGCGATCTCAGATGGAAAATCCGCATGGATCGGTCTAAGGCAAATCGAAAATCGTCCCCTCCAAACCTTTCCGAGGGAATGCATTTCCCTGAAGTCCACTCCATACTCTCCGGTAATTTGATTTTTTGCTATCCCAAAAATCACCAGATTAAATCATTATAATGCATAAATCATCTATAACTATAACCATATGGGCAATTTTTCGTGGTAAGATTGCCTTAAAAGATCAACATCGCCATTTTATCCAGTGGCGGCCATCACCATCGCGAGGAGATTTGCCTTGGCAGATCACAGGATTGACCTGATTTTTTTGAGCCGACTTTCAGGGAGAAAACCAGGGTTCAATCCCAGAAAGCTTGATGCCATAGTGAAAACATGTGAAAACACCCACATTCAAAGGTGAAATCCGAGATATTTTGCTGTTCAAATCCGCGGCTGGTGCTTGGAACCCCCGTTTTTTTTTGGGTCAAATCCCAACCATTTTCCGAGTTTTACGAGTTGATCTCCCATCAGTTTTTATGGCTAGGGGAAGCAGCCTACTGGCACCAATCACTGATCTTTGCAAGACATGAGCACCCCAGATTTTGCTGGAAAAGTATGGAAAAGTATCGATTCCATTCGATTCCTCGAAAAATTTTTCCTCAACTTCCCTCATGCGACACATTTTGCCAAGACTTTGCTGGTTCAACATGATGAAATCATGACGAAAATCTCAGTTTTCCAGCAGAAAATCCCAGTTTGTTCCCCCCAGGTTTTCCCAGTAAATCCTTGGTTTTTGCTGCTAAATCTCCAACGTTTTCCCAGAAAAATCCGTCGTTTTTTGCGGAGGCACTGCAGCATGCGTCCAGCCGAAGATCTCGGCGCTCAGTGCCGCCCCTCGACGACACGGCTCGCTCTTGGGATCCACCTAGCGATGGTCAGTTCGGTACACCTGGGAGGATCATATATGGTTAATGATGGTTAATATACTGTTAATACATGGTTAATATTATATAATGGTTATTATATGGTAAATGAAGGTTAATAATAATCTCATACTGGGAATGTGATTTACTGGAATTTAATGTGTCACAAAAACCAGTAATTTCTACTAACCAATGGGAATAATCATCCCAACTATATCTGGTTGGTGGTTGACCTACCCCTCTGAAAAATATGACGAATTGTCAGTTGGGATTATGACATTCCCAATATGATGGGAAAAATAAAAATCATGTTCCAAACCACCAACCAGTGATTTACTGGAATTTAAGATGAACATGTTTGATCTCTTTATGATGGTTACTTGGAGGATCATCCCACTTAGGATTCCTGGACATCCCTGGTATGATCAATCCATAACCCACTTAGGTGATTCCATAATATTCCATATATCATAAGGATTCATAAATATTCATAAGGGATATTCCAGATATAACTGCGGTTTTTTTCAGCTGTTTCTGAAGGATCCTTAGCAGCTAGTGTCAGTGGTTACCAGAGTTTTTCAGTAACCCATTTCTTGATAAGTTAACCCACTGACCGGGACCTCACCAGATGGTACGAGTACTTTAAAATCAAGGGACTGAACCATGGCCACATTTATACCTGAACCATGGTTAGGTACGATAGATACCAAACATATCTAGGTAAGGTATATCTCCCACATTTTACCATACTATATCATATATATATATATATCCCCTTATACCATACATAGATCTCAGATATCATATGGTAGGTACCTCTAATAGCTATCTGAAATGGCCAGTGATTCTAGAACCCTTGGAAATTGGTAAAGAGTAACAAAATCATGGGGTAAACTAGTCATGTTTATACCTGGAGGGTCTTATTTAGTTAAAATTATTAGTATAACGTTTTATCACTGCACAACATTGCACAACTATCTACAGTAATATATTGAAATATGTACGATATAGTTGCTTAGGGGTTCCTTAGTTCCAAACAAGCTGTTTTTTCCCTCTCTCTCTCTGTCTGTCTCTCTACCCCCCTAATGCATACATCACATAACATTACATCACATTTAGTGCCTTGCATTACATTGCATTGCAGTACATTACACTACATACATGCATTACATCACATACATACATACATATAAAGACAAACAAATAAATACGTATATACGTAACTTGGACCAAATAAGTGTAATATTTTAGTTTAAGTAGTATACCTAATTATAGGATGAATTAGGTTTATAGATGCATAGATCAGTATCAATAAATATCTAGCATATTGTTTAAGAAATTGTGGAACATGTCTGGTAACAGGTATCTAATTCATTCGGATGAGGGGGTGCAGTAGCGGGTTTTGGCTTTCGGGAACCATCAAAACATTTCTGGACATACGAAGCATCCCCAAACTTGGAGATAAACATGGAAGAATACGGTCAGACTGCAACAGACTGCAACCAAAAGAAACACCTGGTCAAATTTCTACAAAACGAATGAACATCAAACATCTTGAATCTTCATGGATCAACCTTTCAAGTGAAACCCAAAGCCTTAAAGCATCATAAATCAGCATATATAAACCTGCCGTAAATCATCATAGGCCTGTGATAAACCATCATAAATCATCACGAACCTGCCATAAACCATCATAAATCATCACAAACCTGCCATAAACCATCAAAAAAAATCACAAACCTGCCATAAACCTGCCATAAACCATCATAAACCATCATAAGTCATCACAGACCTGCCATAAACCATCATAAAAAATCACAAACCTGCCATAAACCATCATAAGTCATCACAGACCTGCCATAAACCATCATAAATCATCACAAACCTGCCATAAACCATCATAAATCATCACAAACCTGCCATAAACCATGCCATAAACCATCATAAATCATCACAACCTGCCATAAACCATCATAAATCATCACAACCGCCATAAACCATCATAAATCATCATAAACCATCATAAACCATCATAAATCATCACAAACCTGCCATAAACCATCATAAATCATCACAAACCTAAACCTGCCATAAACCATCATAAATCATCACAGACCTGCCATAAACCTGCCATAAACCATCATAAATCATCACAGACCTGCCATAAACCATCATAAATCATCACAAACCTGCCATAAACCATCATAAATCATCACAAACCTGCCATAAACCTGCCATAAACCATCATAAGTCATCACAAACCTGCCATAAACCATCATAAATAATCACACACCTGCCATAAACCTGCCATAAACCATCATAAGTCATCACAGACCTGCCATAAACCATCATAAATCATCACAAACCTGCCATAAACCATCATAAGTCATCACAGACCTGCCATAAACCATCATAAATCATCACAAACCTGCCATAAACCATCATAAATCACTGTTTCACAAAACCTGCCATGGAAAATAAACAATCATAAGTCATTCACAGGACCTGCCATATAAACATCACATAAATCAGTCACCACAAAACCTGCCATATAACTATCATAAATCATTCACAAACTGCATAAACCATCAATGTAAATCATCACAAAACCTGCCCTAAACAATCATAAATCAATGATATATAGACCTGCATAAAAGACATCATTTAACACTCATCACAAACAGTGCCATAAAACATCCAGAAACATCATAAATCTCACCCACACCTGCCATGAAAAACCGCCATCTAAAACCATCATAAATCATCACAGACCTGCCATAAACCATCATAAATCATCACAAACCTGCCATAAACCATCATAAATCATCACAAACCGCCCATAAACCATCATAAATCATCACAGACCTGCCATAAACCATCATAAATCATCACAAACCTGCCATAAACCATCATAAATCATCACAAACCTGCCATAAACCATCATAAATCATCATAAACCTGTTATGCCATAAACCATCATAAATCATCACAGACCTGCCATAAACCATCATAAATCATCACAAACCTGCCATAAACCATCATAAATCATCACAAACCTGCCATAAACCTGCCATAAACCATCAATAAATCATCACAAACCTGCCATAAACCATCAATAAACCTGCCAATTTGGGGATGGTAACCACTGTCCAGTGTACCCATCAGCCTCGCAGTCGCCGCCCCCATAGCCTTGAGCGAAAAACCTCGGATTTTGTGGATGGATATGGCTGTGACATCGTTATGATATAGTTAGAATATGGTTTTATGATACGGTTATAATATGAAATGATAATATATAGTTATCATATATATATATATAATCATATATTGAATGATAAAGAAGAGTCTTACTCTACGACGAAATGGGGCAGCCCAGTTGGCAATATCCATACTCTCCGGTGTCCTCAAACATGGCAATTGGAAATCCCCGAACTAAATAAATGGAGCTTTATAGCTGGGAAAATGATTGAACCAAATGGAGGATTTTCCAGCAAGCCATGTTTGATTACCAGAGGGTATAAGATGTCATTATAAATGACTATGAAGATCATACTGAATGTTTATGACGAACTTATTTTTCTTAGCTCATTCGATTTGTCAATTCCTCTGTGATATCATGGAATTTCATTGTCGTAATATGCTATAATCAATGAACAAGAGGAATGTAACAATGTACATGTTGCAGATAGCCTCCACCCACGGACCAGTGATCGCCAGATCGCCAGAGCAATCACCTCTAATTACCCACTGATAGTGGGCCTAGAGCTCCAAGATAAACCATATTGCAAACGGTAGTACGGATGGCTATCATGATTCATACATTCTTTGTCTAATAATGGACGATGTAAAGTAACAATAACATCCAGATTATTCTGGATGTTGCATTGAAAGAATGATGGCAGAATGGCCTTTGGACAATATCTCCAATTACCGATCACAGTATAGGTATATATTTGTATATGAATGAAATGCTTACATCATTTTGAAGGTGGCAGCCACAATACGATCGGATACGATCGGAATGCATAATTATATGGCCACACGCAGTCTTACCAATTGAAACCTACGGTGCTTGAATGACCAAACGCACCAAACACATCAATAGTATGATTTAATTACTGTAGAAAACAAGCCCGATTTATGCTTTACTAGCTTGGTCCTCAGGCCGCACAAAATAATGTGGTTTCTTTCGCTAACTCGGAAGCCACGCTGAGAAATGCCATTCGTTCAATGTTGGGACTTGACTTTCAAGCAGCTATAAGCAGCTCTACGGCCACACGGGCAACGTGGCAACGTCAATGCTGACCAGCCACGTATTCTCAATGTAGGGAACATCGGCTCCGATCCTCGGTGAAGATCGACGGCGGAGGCAGCTTACCTCCAAATGCCAAGCGATTTTTAGCTGGGGTAAAATTAAAAGTATATACATATAATACATATAATACATAAACTATAAACATTCCCCAATTGGGATTTATGAAACTGAGTGAAAAAAACATGGGTAATGGGATGATTCGAAATCCACCCCCTACAGCTCCCCATCATCCGCCGCTCCCGGGAACCGCGGTGCCGAGATGTACCGAGGGGCAGATGGGAGCACAAGGATAGGCCAATCAACAGCAACAAGTGACGCATGCGGCACCTGAACATCACAATTCAGCGATCTGGAAGCAAAAATTGGGCAAAACCAACTCCAAAGTTGGAAACTTATGTATAGTACATATACATATCCATATTAAGATACATACATACATACATACATGTATGTGTATATATATATATATATATGCACATCTTGAATTTTCAAATCTGATGCAGTAGGTAATTCTGATAGAGGTTCGACACCTGGAAATTTGGAAACTGATGAACATCTGAAGCTTCCCAGGCGGGAAGCACTCTCCCACTCATTTGGAGAGCCCTACGCTACACTGGAATCACTGGAATCCAGAATTGTCATGTTCGATCGCCTCCGGAAAACATCCGGCTCTTGGTGTACCCAAATGAGGGGAAAATATGCATCCGGCTCTTGAACTTGGATTTTCTTGGCATCGGAATCGCCTCTGGTGAAAAATGGATTTACCATGGATTTACCATCAGCTTTCTCCAAAATGATGTTCAACAAGGGGAAGATCTGTCCATCTTATTCTGCCTATGGCCTCACATATCTTCACCCCATTTCTGGGGAAAAAATATGAAAACCCATTGTTGACCGTCAGACCCATTGTTGTCAAAAACATTCAAAAACTCATATTGCAATCCATACTGCTTTAAGCATACCCAAAGAAGGACTTTGGGGGTTTATCCCATTCATCCCATGATTCCATATGATTCCGGGCTGCCGGACACATGAGAACTCAGGGCCTGAATCTTCCCCACATCTTTGCTGCTGGCCCGAGAATCGGTCACCTGAGCCATGTTCCAAATGTCTTACATCCTGGCAGCAAATAAGGAAATGCTTGCGCCATCGCTTACGTTTTGCTATGTTTTGCTTATGCGCATATCTTGTCTTATGCGGAGCTTACGTTGGCTTTCGCTCACCAGAGTTTTGCTTATTGCCACAGCCTTCCAAGGGTCCCCTTCCTAAACATGAACACAAGGGTTTAGAACGTGGCTCCCCTGTAATCACAAGTGCCCGAAGACATCCAGAAGTTTGGGATGCTTACTGGGATGCGTATGTTCATCTATGGGGCCATCTGCAGGAAACCGGCATGATCGTGAGAAAGGACTGCGGTACTCATTTCCCAGTAGCTACACAGTCTTTCATACACAATGAATCCCAGTATATCATTTATATGTATATATATATATATGTGTGTGTGTGCGTGTGTGTGTTACATTTATTTTTGATTAATTTTTGTTGGTGCATGTGTTTTTGATGATCAAAGCCGTACCAGCACTACGCTTTACTACATGAAGTCAGACTCAGCCGCGGCCACGATGCAAGGCAAATGGCCATCGGCCATCGCCATCATGGCCATAATTATAATGTACTGGTTGCTGGTTGACCTACCCCTCTGAAACAATATGACGAATCGTCAGTTGGGATGATGAAATTCCCAACTGAATGGAAGAATAAATAAAATATTCCAAACCACCAACCAGTGTATAAATATATATATATATGTAAAAATGTAAAACGTAAATACATGTAAAATGCATATGATTCATCATAATTATATATAATTATAATGTATAAATCAATATTTATGTAAAATGTAAATACCATAGTCTCCTGGAAATCAGAAATCGCCATAGATGCCTCGTGGCCATTGTGCAACAAACTTGTCATAGCGCCGGGCGGCTGAGGTCATGTTGCTGATGTCCGTCTCCTCATCCGAAATCATCCCAGCCGCGACGGCTAAGGCGACGGGTGGGGCTGCCCGGATCGGCGTCAAGGAAGACGGATCGGTGTCTCGCCTGAAAAAAAGGTGAGGATCCGTGTTTTTTTTCATGGTAAATACTTCGCCAAAACCTACATATGCATAATATAATATATATATATGTGTGTGTATACATACATATAATAAATATAATATATATATATATCATATATGTAAACATATACATGAATTAACATATTGACTAGACCTCGAAACGAAAGTGTCAACATCAACTCGTCGCCCTACTTCGCTGTTCTTGTCGCTTTCCATGTCGTTACGCCAAAGAGTTCCATCGTCTTTGAGCCAGCCAGGTGGAACACCCAGTCGTCATCCCAAATTTAATGTTAGTAAAGCACAATAAAGCAATGGGTAATATATGGTTATTATATGGTTAATGATGGTTAATATACAGTTAATAATGGTTAATATATCTGGTTGGTGGTATACCTGGCCTCTGAAAAAGCACAGTAATTTAACATAGCTATTGACAATGACCATAGAAATAGTTGATTTATCCACTCAAAATGCTGACTTTCCCATAGTTATGTTGGTTTACCAGAGGGTATACCAAAACATATGACTGGTTGGTGGTATACCTACCCCTCTGAAAAATATCCTGGTTACTTGGGATTATGACATTCCCAATAGATGGAATAAAACATGTTCTCAACCACCAACCAGAATAGGATCCACCATCCCCAATTTTACCATAAATATCCATAAATGGGTGGCAATCCAAGGATCAAAATAAGGCTGGTTGTTTATGGCTTTACCAGTAGGGAAAATGATGGGACATGACTTTCCGGGAAGCAACCAGGGATGGAGAATGACATGATTACCCTCTGGTTATTTAACATAGCTATGGAAAATGGCCCACTTATATCCACTTATAGATCATTTATGATGCTTATTGATGATAAAATGGTAATTTTCCATAGCGACGCTAAACAACTAAAGGGTATCAGCTATCGACTTGATTCTCACCAAGTTCAAGATGTCTGAATCCTGTCCCTGGCTAGAAACAACAACAAAACGGTTATAGATTCAATCCATCCCTTATGCTCCATGTATGGTATATTTACCTACATTTGGGTGATTTTTGGGGCAAATGCTGGTAAATATTCCATACATGGAGCATCTGGGCATTTAGCTTGTTTTCTGACAATACATCACTGGCAAATTCTCAGCCTTCCCCTCCCAGTCTCCCGCTGCTGTCTTTTCCTCGTTGCGCAGCAGCACAGCTTTGCCTTTGGATTTCCGTGCTGCGTTTGGCAGCCCGTGCACTTGAACTCCAGCTACAAAGCAAATCCATGCCACTGGGGCATGGCATCCTACCAAACACTGTGGGAAAGCTGACTCATAAATTCACATTTCTAATTTACTGTTGGTAAATCCCATTAGATTACTGTGGGAAATGTGTGAATTTATCATAATGTATCTATCTCATCAGTCATCTAATGGGATTTACCTGTCCAGTCAATGCCGGGGAGACCGGTTTCGACAATGACCTGACAACCGCCATCGTCCTGGCTAGTATAACCTCTCCATTTTGAATATAAGGCTTGTATAGGCTTGTGGCCTTGTGCCATCTTCAATCATAAGGTATCGAAAGTAGAGGAAAATAGCCAGCAACATGTACTCTCTGGGAATCGTGGCAATGGAAACTCAAACATCGATGATTCTCCCAGCCTCAGATCGACTCTGTTCTGCTGGAATGCGATCTATCGGTCAGGGAGCCACGCGGCCGCGGCCATGGCTTAAAGAAAAAGGCTGATCGAGCACAACTTCCATCAAGTTGATGGGTTTGGGATGATTAGAATCTTACAGAATCTGATTATATGCCCTTACCCCAACAATAATATTAACATCCCCCAAGAAACCATGGTTTAGTAGGGGATTTACACATTTGAGCCATTTAGGGGTGTTTAATATTAGGGGTGTGGGATTGAGAAGTAAAGGTCCAAAGACTGCTGAAATCCCATATCATTGTGATCCTCCTCAAAAGCAAAGTGGGGATTGATGGCTATCCAATCATGAAAATCGCCAGAACAACCAGATCTTGGTACTCCCCAGCTGTAGATATATAGATAGATAGATAGATAGATAGACCAAGCATTGCAGTATTGGTATTAGTTGCATTATATCAATTCCTTTGATTTGTGACACCCCCATGACAAATCTCCAAAAAAGCCTCCAAAAGCGGGGCCTGCTACTGGCCAACTTAGCTCACGTGACTCCCTTGCTCGGGTTGTCAGCAAATCCAACCCCTTCGTGGCAAGTGCCCCCAAGAAACTGTTTCAATGGATTGGCTCAAGGAAAACCCATTCTGACAAACAAATCTTTGACCTGGATTTCTGTACGTTTGCTATCCGCTCTTTTTGGTGCACCAGAGTAGAAATAAAGAGACAAAAAACTTGGGGCTTATCTTAATGGTGAAACACCTTATTCCCCGCCCACAACGGGACTTGGGGGCCATCCTTCCCACGGATCTTAAAGGCGAATTGTGTGAAACGATGGCGTCGCCGAGCACCCAAAGCCAAGCCGCACAGTTTGGTTGAGCCAATCCCCCCGAAGACTATGCTCGCGGCTGGGAGAAAAACCATCCCAAATCACGTGGAAAATAAATGAAAATAGATGAACATAGATGAACATAGAGCGTATTGTATCATAGAGAAAGTCTAATGCAAACCCTGGCAAAAGCCGAAAGCTGCCACCCCCTATGAGCACCAAGGTCTTGTAATTACATGTTTCATCAATTTTCTGGAGAAAAAAGTCACCATTGGCCCCTCAGTTGCTTCTTCATTGGGCCCTGGAAGGTGGGGGTCTAGGTATAAGCTGGTCGTATGGATCAAATGCGTCGCCCTCTGTTTATGCTGGAATGTTCCTCCACCAAAAAAACGACTTAATTACATGCAGGTGTATATATATATTATAATGCATATGTATATATATATATATATACGTTATACAGTATATATTAATATCCCTTAGTCTATCGTTATTACGGAAACATTTGGTTCCTCAGCAGTTTGGCTTACAGCCGAGTAGCTACATATTAATCTAGTTTGCATTCAATCAGCAACTCACGGCCGATAAAACACATATAAACACTAGATGTAAATAAAATCAAATAACGCCCAAGATCGCAAAAGGTCATACAAGTTCCATAACCATCACAACCAAGACATAACCAGGCTGCAGTTCGCAATCATTTCTCTTCCTTTGTATTTCTTTAAGGTCCTTAAGCCCCACATTTGAACCACCCCCATGTCCCCAATTGAAACTCGGGGCTGCGGCGATCGCAAAAAACCAACAAGGTCACAGACTTTGCCGATGCCCAGTTGGCAGCACAAATCTTTCCAGCTTACTTGCGTTCCTGCGGGCTAGAACCCCTCATCCGGTCACGCTTTAGAAACTTTTTTTAATGCATTTAATTAAAATACATCCCACATTGGTTGCCACATTTCATGTCAGTCAGGTACCTTTTTTTCCATGGCAACCATCCATCCAACCTGCAAACCAACCAACCCTCCGAGGACTCCGATCTTCAGACCTGACGTGTTCCTTGTGGGTCTGCCGATGTGGGCAAAAAACATAAAGGATGTACGAACACAACCCCCATTTTGCAATTGGTAATTCAACCACCCATCCGCAAAAAAAGATCAAAATAGATCAAACACGTCTGTCAACTTGTGACTCCCAAACAGGCATGGAAAAGGCAAAGTACCCTCTGGTAAACTATATAACCTAGCTGTTGAAAATGACCATTTATAGTGAGTTTTCCCATTAAAAGGGGGGGATTTTCCATGGCTATATTGAATAACCAGATGGTATATCTATAAGATTTTTAAAGCACCAATCAACTTTCCATCGCTCCCACCGTTTTCATCCCACGCCGGGCGCCACCGCGGAGGAGACTGGCTGGTATTCGCGGCTGTTCCGCCGTTGCGCAACCCACCGCTGCAGCTTGGGGGTATGGTTTGCTTTGAATATACCAACAATAATCAATCAATGGCCATGCAACAGGAACCGATTTATTGGAGGTACCTTCACTAGACAAAAAAGGCCTTTTTTTCAGGCCTATTTTTCAGGGAATATCCCGGCAAAATCGATTGAAATAGTGATAGATAATAATCATGGTCGCGATGATTGCTATAGCTACAGCATAAGTATGATTTCAACAAAAAAATACATATGTATATATATATGTATATGTATATATATATATATATATGTATATATATATACATATACGTATACAGTATATCAGTAACAATGATAATAATTTAGATATAATAGTAACAGTAACAAACCTAATAATAGTCGTAGCAGAATCAATACCAACAATGATAAACACAATAATAATAGTATTGATATATAATTTATTCAAATTGTATATATATATATATATGTGTGTGCGCCTGTGTGTGCGCATGCGGAAAAAAAAACGGGTGAAAAAACACCACAGCTTCGGCTTTTACATCGATGTGTCGCCGCAGCCAGGGGGCTTCTTCTTCTGTTGGTTGAAGTGTCGCTTTTGCTTCTTCAACTCCTCATAGGCCATGACTTTTGTAAGGATATGCCTGGCGGAGGTCACAGTTCCCTCAGCACCAGGGGTTCGGCCTTGTTTTCATTTATCTTTCTAGAAGATGGAAAAGGACAATGCTATCGAATAGTGGATTTTGTTCTATATCTTTGGGGGAACCAAAAACAGGCAAGAGTAGCCACTTCAAAAATGTGTTCAACAGGTTGCTTCTAAGGCCCTTTAGGGTCTTTTGGATGACCCCACATAGAATCCTTCCATCTTGATGCGAGCCGATTTTTTTCTCTGAGCAATCCTGCTCACAGATGAGATTGGCTATGACTCGGTACAACCATAGTAGAACCATAGTATAACCACTATTTCATTGCCAAAAGTCTCCCGAAAAAACCACAACGGCTCCATCGGGAATTGCCCCACCTTCGCCAGGCTGGGACCAAAAAGACACACACGAAGCAGCCCAGGAGGAACTTGGACAACCTCCCAGGTCCACCAGGTCGTCAGTGATTTGGATGTCAAACTGCCCCAAAAAATACCACAAAAAAATCACGACCAGCACATACCACATAGCTCAGGATCGCTCATCACTCAACTCTATTGGGAGATGTTATCCCAACAAAAACTTCAAGTGATCTGAAAATTCAATATACAATGAATTACAATGTTTGATGCCTTCAGACTATTGAAAAATCGGACTGTCCCCAGAACATTTGGGGGTCTGGCTGCCATTTGTGGCCTTCACTGGATTGGTTGGATTGACAATTCGAACAGAACTCCCCCAAATTTTTTCATCAATGGTGAGGCATCATTCATTTCATTCGACAAAACCCCATGGGTTTAAAACCCCATCCGAAGATCCGGATCGGCGTAAGATCGACCCATGGGAAAAACCCCCGCGCCTCTTGTGTGGTGTGATGAAGGCCACGTCCGCCACCGCGGCGTCGAAGCAGTGCTCCCAAGAAAAACCCACCAAGATGGCAATGGCCTGGCAGTGTTGAATCGTAAGTTTTGAGACCCAGATTACTGCCAAAAAAATTAAGGAAGAACCATGAGATGATGTAGATCTTAGTTACTAGCAGATAACATAGACCCGGGCAAGCCGGCGGCGGAAGTTTCCCAAACATAAATGACCTATAGTTCAAAGACAACCTGTCCCGACCGTGTCCTTCCCTCGACACTCCACACCTCACACTGCACAGTGCACTCTTCGCACTCCAAACTTCAAACTTCACACTCCACACTTCACACTCCACACTTCTCACTTCTCACTGCTTCCTTCACACTCCAAACCTCACACTTCACACTTCACACTTCACACTGCGCTCTTCGCACTCCAAACTTGAACGTCACACTCCACACTTCACACTTCACAGTCCACACTTCACACTCCTCACTGCTTCCTTCACACTCCAAACCTCACACTTCACACTTCACACTGCGCTCTTCGCACTCCAAACTGAAACTTCGCACTCCACACTTCACACTTCACACTCCACACTTCTCACTTCTCACTTCCCACTGCTTCTTTCACACTTCACACTTCACACTGCACTCTTTACGCCCCACACTTCACACTGCTCTAAAGCTACGTGCAACAAAAAAACACTAGTGCCAAAATGGAGAAAATTTGCTAACAAATTTATTTCGCAGCCTTCATGCAGCCACTCCAAGACAATTTACCAGATCCAGCTGCAAAAGACAATAGTCAAAGGAAGTTTAGGGGGAGAAACTTCCGTGTTACGGACTTTTAGAAAGTCAGGGAAAGAGTTAGTCAAAGAAAGAGTTAGCAAAGAAAGAGTTCGTCAGGGAAAGAGTTAGTCAAAGAAAGAGTTAGTGAGGGAAAGAGTTAGTCAAAGAAAGAGTTAGTGAGGGAAAGAGTTAGTCAAAGAAAGAGTTTGCAAAGAAACAGTTAGTCAGGGAAAGAGTTCGTCAAAGAAAGAGTTAGTGAGGGAAAGAGTTAGTCACAGAAAGAGTTAGCAAAGAAAGAGTTCGTCAGGGAAAGAGTTAGTCAAAGAAAAAGTTAGTCAAAGAAAAAGTTAGTCAAAGAAACAGTTAGTCAGGGAAAGAGTTAGTCAAAGAAAGAGTTAGTGAGGGAAAGAGTTATTCAAAGAAAGAGTTAGCAAAGAAACAGTTAGTCACAGAAAGAGTTAGCAAAGAAAGAGTTCGTCAGGGAAAGAGTTAGTCAAAGAAAGAGTTAGTCAAAGAAACAGTTAGTCAGGGAAAGAGTTAGTCAAAGAAAGAGTTAGTGAGGGAAAGAGTTAGTCAAAGAAAGATTTAGCAAAGAAACAGTTAGTCAGGGAAAGAGTTAGTCAAAGAAAGAGTTAGTGAGGGAAAGAGTTAGTCACAGAAAGAGTTAGCAAAGAAAGAGTTCGTCAGGGAAAGAGTTAGTCAAAGAAAGAGTTAGTCAAAGAAAGAGTTCGTCAGGGAAAGAGTTAGTCAAAGAAAGAGTTAGTGAGGGAAAGAGTTAGTCAAAGAAAGAGTTAGTGAGGGAAAGAGTCAGTCAAAGAAAGAGTTAGTGAGGGAAAGAGTTAGTCAAAGAAAGAGGTAGTCAGGATATATGAGGTAGTCAAAGAAAGAGTTAGCAAAGAAACAGTTAGTCAGGGAAAGAGTTAGTCAAAGAAAGAGTTAGTGAGGGAAAGAGTTAGTCACAGAAAGAGTTAGCAAAGAAATTGTTCCCTCACTGTAAATGGGATTGCAAGTGGTGCTGGTGGAGGAGTTGCCGATGGAGTTTTGGAGGAAGTCTCGCACGAAATGCGTTTTTGAGAGATAGCAGATGCACGAAACCCTATGTTTTTCCAGACAAAGTCCGTCCCCGAACGTCGATGATCTACCTCTGCGGTGCGACGGGTGCGAGACGGTCTCGTGTGTGGTCGGATCATTCTCGGATCATGGTCGGATCATGTTCGGATCATGCTCGGATCGGTTCCGTATTGTAAATGGGGTGTCACCTGTGTTTCGTGCATTTGCGGCCGACAGAATTCCATTGTGATTTGCAACTGTAGGATCGTTCCCGCAATGTAAATGGGATTGCAAGTGGTGCTGGTGGATGAGTTGCCGATGGAATTCCATTGTGATTTGCAATTGTAGGATCGTTCCCTCACTGTAAATGGGATTGCAAGTGGTGCTGGTGGAGGAGTTGCCGATGGAGTTTTGAAGGAAGTCTGGCACGAAATGCGTTTTTGAGAGATAGCAGATGCACGAAACCCTATGTTTTTTCCATACAAAGTCCGTCCCCGAACCTCGATGATCTACCTCTGCGGTGCGACGGTTGCGAGACGGTCTCGTGTGTGGTCGGATCATGGGCGGATCATGGTCGGATCATTCTCGGACCATGGTCGGATCGGTTCCGCATTGTAAATGGGGTTTCAAGTGTTTTTCGTGCATGCGCGGTCGACAGAATTCCATTGTGATTTGCAACTGTAGGATCGTTCCCGCAATGTAAATGGGATTGCAAGTTGTGCTGGTGGATGAGTTGCCGATGGAGTTTTGAAGGAAGTCTCGCACGAAATGCGTTTTTTTCTCCATTTTGGCGCTAACGATTTTCCTTCTAAAAATCATTTTAAAAAGTGCTTCAAAATCGCCTTTTTTTCCCTCTGGCGTCGAGATCCGGTTTTGGAGCTACAATTTCCGACGCCGTTGCGCGTAGTTCTAGTGTGTTTTGCAACTCAGTCTCTGCAGATCGCATTGTAATGGCTGCGTCAAGGTTGCTTCGTGCTGTGGCTGCATTCGTAATACTATTGTCTTTTGCAGCTGGACTTCGTAAATCGTATTGGAGTGGCTGCATGAAGGCTGCGACAGTGATTTGTCAGCAGATTTTCTTCATTTTGGCGCTAGTGATTTTCCTTCTAAAAATCTTTTTAAAAAGTGCTTCAAAATCGTTTTTTTTTCGCTCTGGCGTCGAGATCCATCCGGTTTTGGAGCTACAATTTCCGACGCCGTTGCGCGTAGTTCTATTGTGTTTTGCAATTCAGTCTCTGCAGATCGCATTGTAATGGCTGCGTCAAGGTTGCTTCGTGCTGTGGCTGCATTCGTAATACTATTGTCTTTTGCAGCTGGATCTCGGAAATCGTCTTGGAGTGGCTGCATGAAGGCTGCGAAATGGATTTGTTAGCAGATTTTCTCCATTTTGGCACTAGTGTTTTTTTTGTTGGACGTACGTTTAGAGCAGTGTGAAGTGTGGGGCGTGAAGAGTGCAGTGTGAAGTGTGAAGGAAGCAGTGGGAAGTGAGAAGTGTGAAGTGTGGAGTGTGAAGTTTCAGTTTGGAGTGCGAAGAGCGCAGTGTGAAGTGTGAAGTGTGAGGTTTGGAGTGTGAAGGAAGCAGTGAGAAGTGAGAAGTGTGAAGTGTGGACTGTGAAGTGTGAAGTGTGAAGTGTGGAGTGTGAAGTTTGAAGTTTGGAGTGCAAAGAGTGCAGTGTGAAGTGTGGAGTGTGGAGTGTGAAGATTTTGCTTCGTCTCTCGCTGAAAAAAAAACCGCTTGTCGAGGGAAGGACACGGTCGGGACAGGTTTTTCTTCGAACTATAGGTCATTTATTTTTGGGAAACTTCCGCCGCCGGCTTGCCCGGGTCTATGTTATTACGAATGCAGCCACAGCACGAAGCAACCTTGACACAGCCATTACAATGCGATCTGCAGAGACTGAGTTGCAAAACACAATAGAACTACGCGCAACGGCGTCGGAAATTGTAGCTCCAAAACCGGATCTCGACGCCAGAGGGAAAAAAATACGATTTTGAAGCACTTTTTAAAAGGATTTTTTAAAGGAAAATCACTAGCGCCATCTAGCGCCAAAATGGAGAAAATCTGCTGACAAATCACTGTGGCAGCCTTCATGCAGCCCCTCCAATACGATTTACGAAGTCCAGCTGCAAAAGACAATAGTATTACGAATGCAGCCACAGCACGAAGCAACCTTGACACAGCCATTACAATGCGATCTGCAGAGACTGAGTTGCAAAACACAATAGAACTACGCGCAACGGCGTCGGAAATTGTAGCTCCAAAACCGGATCTCGACGCCAGAGGCAAAAAAAAGACGATTTTGAAGCACTTTTAAAAGGATTTTTAGAAGGAAAATCATTGGCGCCAAAATGGAGAAAATCTGTTGACAAATCACTGTGGCAGCCTTCATGCAGCCACTCCAATACGATTTACGAAGTCCAGCTGCAAAGACAATAGTATTACAAATGCAGCCACAGCACGAAGCAACCTTGACGCAGCCATTACAATGCGATCTGCAGAGACTGAGTTGCAAAACACACTAGAACTACGCGCAACGGCGTCGGAAATTGTAGCTCCAAAACCGGATCTCGACGCCAGAGGGGAAAAAAGACGATTTTGAAGCACTTTTTAAAAGGATTTTTTAAAGGAAAATCACTAGCGCCATCTAGCGCCAAAATGGAGAAAATCTGCTGACAAATCACTGTGGCAGCCTTCATGCAGCCACTCCAATACGATTTACGAAGTCCAGCTGCAAAAGACAATAGTTACGAATTACAGCCATTATGCAGCCACAGCATGAAGCAACCTTGACACAGCCATTACAATGCGATCTGCAGAGACTGAGTTGCAAAACACAATAGAACTACGCGCAACGGCGTCGGAAATTGTAGCTCCAAAACCGGATCTCGACGCCAGAGGCAAAAAAAAGACGATTTTGAAGCACTTTTAAAAGGATTTTTAGAAGGAAAATCATTGGCGCCAAAATGGAGAAAATCTGTTGACAAATCACTGTGGCAGCCTTCATGCAGCCACTCCAATACGATTTACGAAGTCCAGCTGCAAAGACAATAGTATTACAAATGCAGCCACAGCACGAAGCAACCTTGACGCAGCCATTACAATGCGATCTGCAGAGACTGAGTTGCAAAACACACTAGAACTACGCGCAACGGCGTCGGAAATTGTAGCTCCAAAACCGGATCTCGACGCCAGAGGGGAAAAAAGACGATTTTGAAGCACTTTTTAAAAGGATTTTTTAGAAGGAAAATCACTAGCGCCAAAATGGAGAAAATCTGCTGACAAATCACTGTGGCAGCCTTCATGCAGCCACTCCAATACGATTTACGAAGTCCAGCTGCAAAAGACAATAGTATTACGAATGCAGCCACAGCACGAAGCAACCTTGACGCAGCCATTACAATGCGATCTGCAGAGACTGAGTTGCAAAACACAATAGAACTACGCGCAACGGCGTCGGAAATTGTAGCTCCAAAACCGGATCTCGACGCCAGAGCGAAAAAAAGACGATTTTGAAGCACTTTTTAAAAGGATTTTTAGAAGGAAAATCACTGGCGCCAAAATGGAGAAAATCTGCTAACAAATCATGTGGCAGCCTTCATGCAGCCACTCCAATACGATTTACGAGATCCAGCTGCAAAAGTCAATAGTATTACCAATGCAGCCACAGCACGAAGCAACCTTGACGCAGCCATTACAATGCGATCTGCAGAGACTGAGTTGCAAAACACAATAGAACTACGCGCAACGGCGTCGGAAATTGTAGCTCCAAAACCGGATCTCGACGCCAGAGGGAAAAAAAGACGATTTTGAAGCACTTTTTAAAAGGATTTTTAGAAGGAAATTCACTAGCGCCAAAATGAAGAAAATCTGCTGACAAATAACTGTGGCAGCCTTCATGCAGCCACTCCAATACGATTTACGAAGTCCAGCTGCAAAAGACAATAGTATTACCAATGCAGCCACAGCAAAAAGCAACCTTGACGCAACCATTTACACTGCGGGAACGATCCTACAGTTGCAAAGCACAATGGAATTCCATCGGCAACTCATCCACCAGCACCACTTGCAATCCCATTTACATTGCGGGAACGATCCTACAGTTGCAAATCACAATGGAATTCTGTCGACCGCACATGCACGAAAAACAGTTGAAACCCCATTTACAATGCGGAACCGATCCGACCGATGATCCGCCCATGATCCGAACATGATCCGACCACACACGAGACCGTCTCGCAACCGTCGCACCGCAGAGGTAGATCATCGAGGTTCGGGGACGGACTTTGTATGGAAAAACATAGGGTTTCGTGCATCTGCTATCTCTCAAAAACGCATTTCGTGCGAGACTTCCTTCAAAACTCCATCGGCAACTCCTCCACCAGCACCACTTGCAAGCCCATTTGCAGTGAGGGAACGATCCTAGAGTTGCAAATCACAATGGAATTCCATCGGCAACTCATCCACCAGCACCACTTGCAATCCCATTTAAAATGCGGAACCGATCCGCCCATGATCCGACCACACACGAGACCGTCTCGCAACCGTCGCACCGCAGAGGTAGATCATCGAGGTTCGGGGACCCACTTTGTATGGAAAAACATAGGGTTTCGTGCATCTGCTATCTCTCAAAAACGCATTTCGTGCGAGACTTCCTTCAAAACTCCATCGGCGACTCCTCCACCAGCACCACTTGCAATCCCATTTACAATGCGGAACCGATCCGCCCATGATCCGAACATGATCCGACCACACACGAGACCGTCTCGCAACCGTCGCACCGCAGAGGTAGATCATCGAGGTTCGGGGACGGACTTTGTATGGAAAAACATAGGGTTTCGTACATCTGCTATCTCTCAAGAACGCATTTCGTGCGAGACTTCCTTCAAAACTCCATCGGCAACTCCTCCACCAGCACCACTTGCAATGCCATTCTAACTCTTTCTTTGACTAATTCTTTCTGACATTCTAAAAGTTACAATTAACTCTGTCCCTAACTAACTCTTTCCCTCACTAGCTCTTCCTTTGACTAACTCTTTCCTGACAGTCTAACTCTTTCTGTGACTAAATCTTTCCCTGATGAACTCTTTCCCTAACTAACTCTTTCCCTCACTAACTCTTTCTTTGACTAACTCTTTCCCTGATGAACTCTTTCCCTAACTAACTCTTTCCCTCACTAACTCTTTCTTTGACTAACTCTTTCCCTGATGAACTCTTTCCCTAACTAACCTTTCCCTGACTAACTCTTTCTTTGACTAACTCTTTCCCTGACATTCTAAAAGTCCGTAACACGGAAGTTTCTCCCCCTAAACTTCCTTTGATTAGTAGATATTAGTAGTAGATATTATATTATTATTACTATTATAGTAGATCATTCTGAGATTTCATTGAATTTTTCCGGAACCGGCAACCATTCAGTGTCGACAACTGAGGATAAAACCATTGGATTTGGAAAACGGCTGGTTCTCCTCCAAGAACCTTTTTTTTCTGGTGATTTGATACCACTGCGTTTTTGTGCGGATTATCACTAATATTCTAATTACATAGGTCATATCATATATATCATATATATATATCATATATATCATATATATCATATATATCATATATATCATACATATATATGATATTATATATCATATATATCATATATATCATATATATCATTATATATATATATCATATATATGTATCATATATATATATATCATATATATATATCATATATATCATATATATATATATAAATCATATATATATATATATATCATATATATATATATATCATATATATATATATCATATATATATATATATATCATATATATATATCATATATATATATCATATATATATATATATCATATATATATGATATATCATATATATATATCATATATAATATATATATATATATCATATATATCATATATATCATATATATATATATCATATATAACATATATATCATATATATACAGTATCATATAGATCATATAGATCATATAGATCATATAGATCATATAGATCATATATATCATATATATCATATATATCATATATATCATATATATATACATACATGTGTGATCATGTGTGTGTGTGTGTCAAAAAATCGTGGGTCAAATGAGTTACAAAAAAAGACTTTCAGGGACGTCAATCTCGGATTCCAAGATCCACCAAGTCACCAGTTTGTCACCAGGTTTGGGGAGTGAAAAATCGTGCTGGTCAGCACCTTTGTCCTTCCAGCAACTCGTCGTTTTTCGTGGTTTCACCGTTCTTGGTGCTCTCCACGGCTTTGTTGGCAGTTCCCCTTCATGTCGCTACCTTTCCTATTTTGTTCCGTAACATTGTAACATATTGTAACTGTATCTCTCGTTCTCGTGTGAATGTCGCTGGTCGGAAACTTCAATAGTATGTTTCCCCTCCTTCCCCCCCAACAAAAAAGAAAATCAGACCATTGCTCTTTGGGACCCTTCCCACCATTATGGCAATGGAAAATCATGGGATCTTTCCCCCGCTCACCTGAATGATGACACGAATCGCCTTGCTCGCCGCCTCGCTGTGACCAGTGGGATCCCCCGGATTGACTTCGACAATGTTCGACATGAATAGATCAGTAGATCTACATAAGCAACACCCAAGTTGAGATAGACAAGTAAAATCCCTACCAAAATACAGTGATAGCTCTTTTTGTTCGATCTTTTTGGCTACTCTATGACTATATGCTACTATAATTCTAAGCATTACTCAACCCATAGTTTTGTATGTTTTGTGGTGCTTTAGAAGGCCTTGATTTTGCAGGGCGCTGCAACTCGTTGGCACGGCAGACAATGGATTCAGATATAGTGAAAGGATCTGAACGGCACAACCAACACACAGGCGTTGTCCGTACAAATGGCTACAACCATTTAATTCTGTCATGTTCTAATTGCACAATTAATCGTGAACTTGTGTTTGAAATCGGCAAGCTTTCCTCAAACTGTTCATAAAATCAAGGTCCAAATCAAAGCTTTGGGCCTCGGCTCCTCCTTTGGTTTCACGGACGGTGTCATCCACAGAATCCAACCTGTAGCGGTATCCAAGATGCAAATGGAGAGTTACCCGGCCTGGTAAACGTTAACAAAAAACCTATAGAAAAAATCACAAAATGCTATTCAGAAGGGTAAATCAACTATTTCGACATATTTCGACTGGGCCATGTTCAAGTTCGCAAACTGTTAGTTTACCAGAGGGTAAGCATAGAAATACCTGGAAGCTGGATGAAAATGGGATTCGACGTCCGCAAAGTTTCGGGAAAGCACCGAAGCTCGCGGATTGAAGCAACAACAAATGGCTTCAAAAACGGCCGCTTTTGACGAACGAAACCTGACCTGTCACTACTTCAAGCAAAAATGGGGACGTCTCATGATTTCAGTAAGAAGTTGGGACTTGGGATTCAACTGATGTGATTCCAGCATATTTCAAGGAACAACAATATGATACAATATGACTTTACCAATGGAAAATGTTCAGGGATCTCAGGTTCCACCCCATTCCAAACATTTCCAAACATCAAATTTCTCCGATCTGGGAAGCAGAATACACACAGATGATTCGCTGACGCTGTCTTGTCGTTGCTGGTGATCCCCCTAAGCACCACAGGAAGATGGCAAGGTTCTGAAAGAGAGTCACCATCTGATCTAGTTCAGCCATGCGAAATAACGACTTTCGATACCTAATCGAAACGGCTCCGTGTTCACGGACAGATTTTGAAAAACCGGTGAACATTAATGTGAAAATCAATCCCCGGAAATCTAAGATATCTATAGATATCTAACATGGACCCCCAAAAAATAACTGGCCCGATTGAAAGATCATCTAAACTACGGCAGCTGATGGAGGTTTTCACATCGACCCATCAGCATAGTTGAACGATTGGAAGACATGTTCAAACCACATATCTTCCCATAGAAACTGAGGTCCCCAGTCTTGCAAGTTCACTTGTAAACCCCATGAATACATTGAGTTATATCATCTTATTATCAGTTGTATATACCTCTAATATATATTATATGAATACTTAATACTATAGCACCAGTTATAATCACTTATATTCTATATCCTATATATATATATTCTCTCTCTCTACCCTCTGGTTATTTAACAGTTCGCCATGGAAGCCATGGCCCATTTATAGATGATTTTCCCAGCTAGAAAGCTCCATTTATGGTTGGGATTTTCCATATATATATATATAGATATTCCTTAATCAACCCCAAACGTTGACCTTATAACTTCCCCGGCTCGGCTTCCGCACAGGAACACCGCCAGGCCGCAAAAGATGGACAAACCCAAGGCCTCTTCAGGTCGCAAGAAACCCCGGATTGGGGTGGTTTTTTCCGGGAACCCTCTGGTAAACTAACAGTTTGCTATGAGATTTTATGGGTTTTTATGGTGATTTTATTTGATTTTATGATGATGTAATGGGTTTTTATTGTGATTTAATGGGATTTACCCTCAGGTAAACATGCAAGAAACGATGGAAAACCACCATTTGTAATAGGTAAATCAACTATTTCTATGGCCATTTTCGATAGGCACACTGTTAATTCACCAAAGGGTATGGTGGCTGGCCATGCGGGTGTTCTTTTAAGATTGCCAAATAATCCCACGAAGTTGAATGATGTTAAATGTCAATGGATGTTAAGTTATATCTTATTGAGACACGAATATCTTGAAATGGATGGATGGTTAACTTATGGAGAAAGGCGTCTTGAAATGGTGGATTTCATGCATGAATTTGGAACATGAGAGACGAATCTTGAAATGCTGATGATGTATGGATGTTCTGGCCATGGTTGATTGTTTTGGAATGAGCAAAGAATTTCGACATATCTAGAAATGAAGGATGCTGGATTTCCCAGCACCATCCAGATGTTTGATTGCG